GCCCTGTCCGACGTCTCCCTTCACCCACTTTTCGGTTGTCTGTCCCCCAGGGAGGAGGTCACATATAGTTCCTTGAAATCGGTTCACTCTTTCCTACCCATTCTCCCTTTACCCTCCCCGTTTCGCCACTCACACCACTGGTCCTGTAGGGCTCATCCTCCCTGGATTCCCTGTATTTTCAGTTCCTATTCCAGCTCTTATCTGTACCCATATACATGCTCTGGTCTAGCCAGATTTGTAAGGTAGAATTAGGGTCATAATAGTGGGGTGGGGTGGGGAGGAAGCATTAAAGAACCAGAGGAAAGCTGTATGTTTCATTGGTGCTATACTGCATCCTGACTGACCCGTTTTCTTCCCACAACCCTTCTGGAGGAGGCTTTCTTCTCCCACTCTTTGATTACTTCAAGTCTACAGCCTTGGAAATTCACAATGGCAGGTCTACTCTGTCCTATAGGATTACTCTGAGTTGGAATCGACCGGATGGCAATGAACGAGATGTGAATAATAAAAGCCTACATTGCCTTGAAAAAACAATTGGTGGAATTATGGATATCAAAGGTAATTCTGGTGAGGGCTCAGAAGGAAGTGGGGAACATCTCGATTATCTTAGAGCATATATTTGGTGCCAGCAAAGCACGTTACTAGAAATGTGACATTAAACATGTTTTGGGTAAGGTTTTAAACTGTGGAGAAAAGGTGATACCTTTTCTGATGATGGTAAAGACCTGCTTCACATTATATTAAAAAGGTTTAGTGGAAAGTAGAACTTGTAAGTGATCAACTTCGATATCTGACTGAGAAGATTTCTATGCAAGATCTGAAAGGACAACGTGGTTACTCCTCCCAGCTTGTAATAAAATGTGAAGGAGATAGATTAAAAAACAAAACAAAAAAACGAGGTACAGTGAAACCAGAACTTAAAGAGTTGGAAAATTCTGTTGTACAAACTAAGGACATGTGAAGCCTGTCTAACACAACATGTGTCTTAGAACGTTCAGCAAGGATGTGATTACACAATCGTTTGTTGAAGATAGAGAGCCTGTGTGTGATGGATTTAACCAACTACCACACCAGAACACACCTTAAACTGAAGGGGACAGACATAAACATGGGTTCTCACCCTTGCTATAGAAGAAATGGACATATTTGAAAGAGATAAAAAGTATTTATACGATCAAAACTAAAACCCATTACCAACAACTCAATTCCAACTCATAGCACCCCTGTAGAACAGAGTACAACTGCCCCTTTGGGTCATCCAGGTGAAATCTTTATGGGAACATACAGCCTCTTCTTTCTCCCTTAGGAGTAACTGGTAGGTTCAAAGTGCTGCCCTTGTAGTTAGAAGCTCAAAGTTACGAAAACTGAAGGCAAATATATTGTAATCAAAATATGCTTGTACATAAAAAGGGATTTGGTGGTCTTAGTTTTAATTTCCACAAGACAGAACTCACAGGCTTGATAAACCGGAAGTGAGTATATACTGGCACTTGCTAAAATATAGGATGATAATTAACAGGGTGTCCAAAGACAGATGCTATCTTATGCTCAAACTTAGCTGTTTTGTAAATGAAACCATATATATCACTTGCTGTCATTTCCCCTTTGGTTACTATCTTACAGAATTTTAACATTTGCTCAGGGCCCCGCTCTTTATTTTTTCATTAATCACTAAGAGGAGGGAAAAAAGTTCTGAAGTCTACTATTTAGAGATTGATAT